GTGTGTGTGTGTGTGTGTATGTATGAGTGTTCCTGAAAGCAGGAATCTGACCTTAACAATGATTAGTGAAGCAGGTTTTATACAGGTAATCCTCACTTACTGACCACAGTTGGGACCAGCAACTCCATCGCTAAATGGCGTGGTTGTTAAACGTGATGTCACATGACCACACTGACTTATGACATCAGTTCCAGCTGTGGTTGTTAAGCAAATCACCATGGGTCATTAAGCATGACGTCACATGACCTTGACTTGCAACTTCCTGATTGGACTTTGCTGATTGGAAGCCAGCAGTGAAGGTCGCAAATGGTGATCACGTGACCATGGGGCACTGCAACCATCATCAATGTGTGCTGATTGCCAAGCACCAGAATCGCAATCACAGGGACACTGCAATGGCCGCAACTTCGAGGACCAGTTGTAAGCCTAATTTTTCAGCACCATCGTAACTTCAAACGGTCACTGAACGAGCAGTCAGTAAGCGAGGACTACCTGTAACTATAATAGAAAAGAGATTTATTTACAGAATTCCATTATAGCAGTGGTTCCCAAACTGTGAGGTATACCAGAGGAAGTGTGAAGAACCTTTTAGTTACATTGTTACAGTAAATCCACCTTTCCCAAAGTTTCATTGTTTTCATTGTTCATTTGCGTTCATGTTGGTGTTTGGATTTTTAGGGGAGGTGTGAACGTTAAGATTACACTAAAGGAAGGTGTGACAGCAAAACGTTTAGGAACCCCTGCATTACAGGGATAGATGAAGCCTGGCACCTAGCTACATCCTATCAGAAGTATGGTGCAAGAGCATATGCTCCGTGCGCCTGTCAAGGAAGAAGGAAGTGACCTCAGATTAGTGGTTTCTCATGCAAAGGCCAGGCAAGGGGATGGACAAAGAGAGAGGAGACCCAGAGTAAATCCTTATTCTCTATCCGCTGCCTACTGCCCCCTTGTGGTCAGAAGGTGAAGACGCGCTGAAGGGTCGGTACATTTGGGTTGCACCTCCCACAGAGGCAACAATACATACTTGGCACAATGTCACAGGTCTTGAAAATTATATAGTTTATACAATTTGGGAATTTAATGATAGCTCTATGGTTTATTTCACTGACTTTTTTAAAGCTGCAGATTTCTATCCTTTTCTTTGAAAAGTCTTACTGAATTAAAATACTAAACCTTTAAAGAAAGAGAAGAGAGACTTGCATCGCTGAATTATTTTCTCATTTATTTCATTTATATCCACCCCTTATTGCAAGTCGCCTCTCCTATTCATGGTTGTATAATTTATGTGAGGCTGATTTTCACTGAGTTGGTTTTGTTTGATTGTCTTAAATTATGCTTTCTTTCTTTTTCTTTTTCAAATCTTACTGAATTTAACTTTGAACTTGTATTTAAAGCAGAAGAGTATCCCCAGAGAGGGGAATACAGACCACTGAATTATTTTGCCTTTGCGTTTCACTTACATCCTACCTTTGTTGCAAGGAACATCTTGATCAAAAAGCATATGGCAGAGTGGGGAGCTGAACCCTTATGTTACGCTTCCTCCCCAGGACAGACATGGACGAGCTATGGGACCACCTGCAAGATACAGATTCGTGCCTAGGTAGCACTGAACAGAAAGTCACAGAGCAGAGGGGCCGCCTGAATGCCTTGAATGAAGGGCTAGATGAACTTAACCACACAGTCAACTACCTTAGTCGCCAAGTCGGAAGGATAGTAAATGCCAGCTTCAGTGGTAAGGAACGTGGTTGCCATATTACATAAAAGAAGCATGTCCACACATGTTGTGGGCAAGGAAAATCCCTTTCTTGACATCCCCCTGCTTTCCCTCTGCTGCCAGAGTCTTTCCGTAGCATTGTGGAGTTCTTCCAGCAGTCAGAACAGGCCCAACAGCAAGCCAACGCCTCCGTTCGAGGGCGCCAAAGTCCGGTGGTCCAAGCCAGACGTACACATCAGCTCACCGTCGAGCTGTTGAAACAAAGAGGAAGTGCTTTTCGCAGGAGGGCGGCTGCTCGCCAAAGGGCTCTGACTAACATCCAACAAAAGGTCAAGGCCCTCCACCTGAACAGGATCAACCAGAAAGTAAGTTCCACAGAAGGGTAGGAATAGCAACGGGAGAAGGAAGGAGGAGTCTGCTGGAGGTGGAAATGGTAGCCCTGCCCAAACTGCCTTATGATTCGACTGCAGATTGACCAACGTGTCCATTTCGGCTCCACAAGTTTGCCAGTTCTAAGAAATCCAGTTTTTTCCAATTTCTGATTTTTGCAGATCGGCTGGGTGTACTATGTCAAATTTGAGAACTTTTCTGTAAAAATGTTCACTAAAATGTGTATTATTATGGTGCATATTTCTCCAAATACACACATTTTTCTTTGCAATGGTCTCTAATACACACAATTTTTAGAAATATTCCCTAATGTAATAGAGGTTTATATATGATTATTTGTATTTTGTTGAGATTTTTCCCTGGTTTTTGGGAGTAGCTAATTACATTGCCCTGCTTGATCATCCTTAATAATGAACGATATCGCTTGCTATAATCTATTTGCTAACATTGAGATTAATCAACATGAATCAAATTTTGGTTCATGTATTGGTTAAACCAAAAAAAATAGGTTTGCAGTCCAATGCAAAATGAACTCATTTCCCTTTCCTGCTCCTTGCTCCTGACTCTGGTAGTTTCATTCCTATTCTACTGATGAGGTCAACAGCGCATCAGAAATCTCTTTTCACTGGATAATCCTTGTTTGTTGCCTTGTTCTAGATCTGTGGTGGTTCTGGAGAAGAAGTCTGTGAGCAAGCCCCTTGTGGAGGAGCTTCCTGTAAGGACAGTTTAGGTCAAAGGCACTGTGGAGGGCCTGGCTGTACTGGAGCTCTTCCTGTGTCCATCAAGGCCCTACATACTTCCCAGAACCTTTCTCACCAGCTGGAGACCACAGCAAAGCAGCTGGGCACCATTATTAGCAAGGTACATTGCCAGTCTGACTGTATGGAAGCATATCAAGAAAATGCTGTTAAATTGGAGATAGGCTATCACATTTCTTAGTTTTTTAAATTATGTATGTATGTATGTATGTATGTATTATGCTAGATATTTATGCTAGATCAATAAAAAAAAGAATCCGTGGCTTATAAAAACAATAGGCAGTAATGTATACCCTGCATGGACATTAGATGATACATTTTTTTGCACAGGATATTAAGCCTGATTTGCTAAGTATTCTGACTTATTGCACTGAGCAACCCATTCACACATGCTGCCCAATGATTTCTGGTTAACTCCTCCTGTCCCCAGGAATGGCTTAAAAAAATAAAGTCTCCCTGAAGTCATCCTCAATTCCTGGTGACTTCATGACATGCCTAAGTACGGTACATTTCTTAGCAGCCATGTGGAGGTGGTTTGCCACTGTCTCCTTCTGGCATATTTTTTCGACTTCCCAGCCATGGGTTGCCCTGGTGGTCTCCCGTCCAAGTTCTAACCAGGTCAGCCCTGCTTAGCTTTTCCTGAGATAAGCACGGTCATCTAGGTGGGAAGCCAGCAAATCTCTAGTGACTGTTTACTGTTTTTCAGCCTTTATTTCATGAAGTGACTAAGTCTGAAGCAACATGACAAAAAATCTTTGACAGAAATGCTCCTAGCACTAAGTACCAAATGTTATTTGGTGGCTATTTCATCTTTCTCTATCAGGGTTTTTTTTTTTCTGGTACAAAAAAAGAAGAAGAAGAAATAGAAAAACATGGAAAGGCCACAAATGAAAGATTTGTACAATTTCATGAATTAGTGTGAGAGACTGGATGATAAAT